CATTTCATCAACTTGTCTCTTCATGGCCTCACGTTCTCGCGTCGAATTCCTGTACCGACACTGACGGAGTGGTCTGGCATTTTCTTCGGTTATGATGCGATGTTTCGTATCGGGGTCTGCCGAATTTTTGATGACGATGAAAAGCAATCTTCGTATTGCAGGAGCACGGCCTTGAGCTGTTCTTGCTTATGGTTTGGAAGTCTGGGATTGACGTCGAAAGCTGTAGGAGGGGCTTGGTTCCTCTGAGCAGGTTCCGCAGAATCGGTGAGGGTGAAAGCACTGGTGGTGTTCACAATTTCTTCGATGTATGTGACCGTTGTTCCTTTATTTACATGTTTGTACTCATTGCTGAAAATCGTGAGCATAACCAGTGCTTCGCCTCCCCGCAGCTCTGCTATTCCTCTTTCGACGCAAATATTTCGGATGACCAAAAGATGCCGACTGCCTTCACTGACGCCTTCCAAGTCAGGTGATTTAGGAGCGCTGACTGAAGTAATGACACTGGAGCGAGGCGGAATGGTGACTTGTTCTTCCAGCACATTCAAGGCATGGATTCCTGGCGGCATACGTGGTGGTAGTGCTTCTTCTGTGGATAACGTTATTGACTTTGTTCTTAGGTTGATGACAGCACCATGGAGGCATAAGAAATCTATACCAAGGATGACATCTCTCGAGCAACGCTGTAGGACTACGAAGTCTGTAGGATAAATACGGCCGTTAATTGTGACTCTCGCTGTGCAGATTCCTGTAGGCGTTACGAGATGACCTCCGGCTGTGCGGATTTCAGGGCCTGTCCCAAGCTGTCCTAACTTTCTTTAACTTCGTGGCGAACAACCCACTGATGACTAAATAGTCGGCTCCAGTATCGACGAGAGCAGTCACACTGTGGCCGTCAATAAGAACGTCGAGGTCGCTAGTTCGCCGTCTCGCATTACAGTTAGGGCGTGGCGTCGGGTGACGGCTGCGTCGGCTTGTTCCGCTGCTTCCATGTTGCGTCGTCAGGCCACCTTCAGTAAGTGAGCTTTCGCCGTCAGGGCTTTGCCAGGTTGGCGTTGTGTTCAGAAAGCTCCATCGCGTCGTCGTCATCGGAGGAGGATCTTCGGTAGTTCGTCGCACAGCAACCGCACCTCCATCGGTTGCTGCCCTTAGTTTCCCGGATACGGCTAGGAGACAAGCTCCGCGTTGGGCCAGAGTACTTCCGGTGGTGCGGCGGCTGGGCGACGACGAACGGGAAGGACTTCGTTGTGTCCATTGAGTTCCTGTCAGGTAGTCGGCGATGTCACGTGGCCATTCTCCTGGCTGGGGACGCGTTGCATTGACAGCGAAGCCACGCAGTCCCATCTGTCGGTACTGGCAACAACGGTATGTGTGTCCAGGCCTCGCCGCAGTGGTAGCAGAGCGGGCGGTGGTCAGGGGTGCGCCAGACGTCAGTCTTCCTCGGCGCACTGCGCCGGGCCGCTGGCGAACGGTAGGACGTCGGTGGGGGTGGTGGCGGCGGTGGCGTCTGGCGACGTAAGTGTGATGGGGCAGCGTTTCGGCGTGCGCGTGGAGTAGGAGCGTGGCGGCGGGCTGCAGCAGCATAGCTCATGGCTTGCAGCTGAAGATCTTGAGACTGAGGAACGCCCAGGGATTGCTGGATATCCTGGCGTACGACGTCCGCTATGGATTTCACGTGAGTCTGTGCTGAAGGAAGTAATTTTCACAGCTTTCTTGCACGATCGCTCGGATCGTCTCACGCAAGTCAGTGGTTCCAAGCCATTGAATGCCGGCGTAGCTTGTAGACGAGAAGCTACGATTATATTGCCGCGTGCGCATCTCGACCGTCCTCTCTATCGTAGATGCTTCTGAAATGAATTCGGCGACCGTCTTTGGCGGGTTTCTGATCAGCCCGGCGAAGAGTTCCTGCTTTACTCCTCGCATGAGCGGATGGACCTTCTTCTTCTCAGACATGTCGGAGTCTGCGTGGCGGAAAATCTTTATGTCTTCCGTGAATAGCACCACGTTTTTGTTTGGTATCTGCATGCGGGTTTTGAGAAGAGCGGCGGCCTCCTCCTTGTGCACCAACCACACTTGCGAAAGTGGTGAGGAACCTGGCTTGAAAGACGTCCCACGTTGTAAGGCTTCACTCTTGATTCTAGAATCAGGTCTGAGCAGCATCTTCTAAGGCGAAATACACATGCCGGAGCTTGTCATCGTCTGTCCAGTCATTGAAGGTGGCGACGCGGTCGAACTTTAACTTTTTGATCCAGCTTCCCGGGTATTCTAGGGGCGAACCGCGGAAAGTTGGCGGCTCTTTGGGTTGTCGGAGCAGGAGTGGTGCAGGCTGCACGGGGGCGGTCATGGTTGCAGTAGTTGATGTCGGGATCTGGGTCTGCCTGGCTGCTTCAAGAAGGGGCCCGTACTCTGGTTGTAGTCCCCTCTGCCGGCGGCTTGTTCGCTGTTCAGGATTAGCGTCCTTGTCTTCTTTGCCTCTTGGGCGGGGGTCATGGCTTGTAGGGGGCGTCCGGAACATCAAAGAAGCAGCACCTCCACCAGATGTCACGGGGTCGTGACGTGGCCGAAGACAGGAGACTTTGTGTTGGAATTTAACTGTTTATTTGGGCGAACCTGTGCCCGGTAAACGGAACATACGAATACAGTAGCAGTATTGGACTGATAGCGGCGAACGGAGTGTCGGCCGTCGATAGACTACCCACAAGCGGCGAAGTGCATCGGGATTTATACTCTTGCCATCGGATGTTCTAGCGTTATCGCTGGCGGTGGCGTAGGTTCAGAATAATCTGTACAGTTCGCAGAGTGGGCGTGATCGTATCGAAATGATCTACTAAAGTCCGGAAGCTTCTCGAAAACTGCAGGCGCGGTTTGCGCTGAGAATTGTGTAGTGTTTTGGGGCGAAAAACTTGAGAAATAGAACGTGGCAATATGTTTGACACCCGTGTGCTGAGTTTGAGACACAGTAAAGAAGCCGAGGTGATCAAAATTACTGCAGGCCGCCACTACAGCACCTCTTATATTCAGATCTGCTTTTGGGATTTTTAACTCTAACAAATAATATTACTGTTCGGCCGAGTTGCGACGTGGTGTGAATTGGTGCAATGCAGAAGAGAACGGCGTACCGCTGCGCTATGGAGCTACCAGTTTAACGTACCACGCGGCGTGGATGACGACCGCAAGAATGTAAGATAACTTCAAATAGTGCAAGTGAACCATACTATAAACAAAACGCGCCTTTTTTTTGTCAGGTGACCTCAAACTCGCTTGACAAGACGTAGCCAGTTGAAGTGCCATTTGAGGCCGACTGCTTTACGAATGACGTCATATGTGACGCTTCCTTTGGTCACGTGACTTCGACCTGTTGAGGAGTAAATAGACTTTCCCGTGATGGGCTGCTGAAATTATGGCGAATTCCACTCATCGAGCGGGAGCAACTTTTCTTGCTCCAAAGCTGACAATCCGCGTTTCACTGGCAGATTCGAAGCAAGTTCTCATTTTCCACTGGTAGATTCAGAGCAATCCACTCCGTGACGGAGCATTCCGCGTGCTCCATCTTGCAGAGACGGATTTCGCAAATCTCCGAGAATGAGTTATCATCATTTCCGGTAAAGTCAGCCAGCTGGGTTGCCTTCAGTGTTTTTTAAGGCGGTTTTGTAACCCTGTGCTCTTGTTGACAATCCTAAAATTAGAAATCCTGCTTTGAAGTGGCGACAAAGTTGTCATTGAAGCGTCGAGAGCAGAAAAGAAAATCGTTTCCGGTACCGAGTTAGAGACCTATGCGTAAAAACCCCCGAAGAGACCTCACATGGGGCATTCACGTGCTCCAGTTGCAGATCTCGTTCGGCACAATCCGAGAGCTCGCTCCAAGATTCAAGCGGCCACTCCGGATCTACAAGTGAAATTCGCCATTAGGCGCCTCATTCTTCCTCGAACCACCACCAACAACCTTCGTCCTTGAGCTGGGTTTTCCTTTTTAGAGCTTGGAGGCTTCTGCTGAGCCTGCTTCCACTGGGTGGGCACCAATCACACCACTCCATTCACGAAATTGTCCTGCTGCGGTGCTCTCTTCCGGTGAAACTCCCTGCTCTGTGAGGCGCCATTTGTAGCCCTAAACACACCACAAGTCCTGCTAGGTTGCAATCTCACTCGGCTCTCTGACTCGTCTCGAAAGCAGCCCGAGAGCGGGAACAAGAGGGGTGACTACTGTTCACCCTCCCTCTCATTCTGTTGTCAGGCTGCTTTCTAGGTGGTTCATTCAGGCTGCTTACGCAAGGAATGAATTTTTTCGGATATGAACATGCTCAAAGCACCCACATCGTTTTATTCTTCACTACCCATGGTATTCGCCCCCCCCCCCCCGCTCCGGAAAACAGCGTGTATCACTGTCGCCGAAGCTTTAGCGCACGCAGTCACAGACACTGGGGAAGTGATTTTAAACGAAAAGAAGAGAAAAGTGAGCCCTGTATCTGTCCATCAGGGGGAGGACACCTCAACAGTAGCTCACGAAGGATGGGGTAGAAAAGGAAATGAAAGGATAGGAATAAAAGGCAGAGAGAAATATAGAGAGGAAAGAGAGTGCGAGGTGCAGGGACAGGGAGCGACAGAAGTGAGGATAAGACAGAAAAGATGGACACGGTTGCATGATTCTGTGGACGGGGCACCGCTGGCGAGAGCTCTTGTCGGTGACAGGAGATGGGGTAGGGCTAATCCAGTCGGTCAGAGCTACGCTGTCGTCGGAGATCGCGAGGGCACAACCAGTCGGCACTGAATCCAGTGAGTGAGAGGCAGGCGCTGAATAGCCTCTTATGGTATTTAGGCGGGTGATTCCAACTGACGCAAAATGATTCTAGATTAACGCCTCTAGCATTATTATACGAGGAGTATGAGCATTTTCGATATCATTTCGCCATCATCCAACGCAAAGCTACAAATTACTGCAAAAAACTCACAATCAAAACTTTCGCTTTTTGAGGTCCATTAAACCCTTTTTAATTGTGTCATTTCAGAATATCAATGACTTGCTCAGCGGCCCGATTCGCCAGTACAGCCTGCTATTCTACAGCAAGAACAGTGCCAACATGACGGAAGCTCTGAAGAACTTCAGGGAGGCTGCTGCTTCCTTCAGGCACAAGGTGTGGCACTTTGCATAGCTTGACTCATTGAAAGGCATACTGCTCATTTCTAACACATCTCCTTAATCACTGATTTTATTAACAAAATGAGTGGGTAATAACAATGGACGGTGACGTTCTTTAGTTCTCAAGAGCAAAGTTGTTTTCACAACACGACAATCACAGATAGTTTGTTTGTTTGTTTCCCTAGACTGATGGCTCATACCCACTCAGGGGAAGTGGCCAAGAAAGCATAGTGCAGTTTTTCTGTGATCATTTTAACTATGTGTAATGAATTTGTATTACTTTATAACTAATGTAAGGAAAACCACATAAAAAGTGAGCTGACGACAAAAAATAAAAATATAGAAAAGTCAAGTTGAGAAATTTTGAGGTTTCAGGTGTTGTGATTACCACTCAGCTGGGTTTATTTCACTTTGCCAATTAGAATTTCTTTTGGGGGGGTGTAATAAATAATAATTATTTGATGGAAGATCACAAAGGTATACGTTTGGTTGCCTGAATATAATCACAAACGGCATTGAAGGCATCCCTGTGGCATTGTCTCAAAATTGAGGCACCAAAGTTTAGAACTATCATACTTCTTTTTCACTGTGCTGATTTCTTCTTTTTTCTTCAAAAAGGAGGTTTAATATTACTTGCAAGTTCGGCTAGCTTTATGCTCTGAAAACTGTTGGGCCGCGCAGCTGTAAAATATTGAGTGTAATCGATTGGCAAATGATATCAGGTAGTGTCCTAAGTGATTCGATACATTTCAAATGCACGTTCTTTACTCTTGAGTAGGCAATGTAAAAGTGAGTGACCTGCAGGTTCGTGCAATTTCACTTAAGTAAATGCCTTGCATTTCATGATTTGAGGTTTTCGCAGCAGGAAGCCTGCTGCGTGTGATCTCCCCGTTTGTTCTAGATCCAATCCGTTCTCTTAATATCTCTATGCGTGAACTTCTCTACACATTGTGTTCATACTGTGGCTTTTATCTCCACGCTGCAGGTTGTCTTCGTAACCATCAACGTTGATAAGGAAGAAATCGAACTGATCCTCATGTACTTCCGCATCTGGCAGGACAATGTTCCCGCCTTGCGCTTCGCCGAATATGATGGTGTCGGATCTGTGACACCCTTCATGCCCGAGACGGACTCGCTCAAAACTGAAGACATCAATACCTTCGTTGAGGGCGTGCTGAACGGCAGCATTAAAGACACACCTTGGTTGCCAGATTCGTTTAACTCGACAATCCATCGCGCCAAAGTGGTCGTGCAAGAGAACTTTGATGAAGTCGTCTTCGACAAGACCAAGGACGTCCTGGTGCTGTTTTACTCGCCCTGGTGCACCCCCTGTTATCATCTGACGCTACACTACGATTGGTTGGCCAACATGTACAATGACCACGAGGACTTGCTCATCGTGAAGATGGACGCCACGATGAATGAGCTCGAGCACACAGATATCCACAGCTTCCCCACCTTGAGGCTGTACAAGAAGCAGAATAATGAGGTGAGTATCCTGGCGTGTGTGTTTCTAGGCGAATGTATGGGCTTCCTAGACGCCTTTTCAACTGAGTAGCTTTGCGTTCTTTCTGGACTGTTTCTGGCACGAGAATAAACACACTGGCGACATAACTTCGGCAGAACGTTTTTGGTAGCTCAAACACATTACCAACGCAAAGAAGACAGCAGCATTGTCTAGCGAGTCTTCATTATCATTGTGCCTTAACTATTCACCTGGAAAACTCAGAGACTAAGCTTCTAGCTTATAAGATCACAGTACGCTCACAAATTCAGTACGCCTCCTTATTCTAAAATCCGCATTAGGCCTACCTCATTGAGAAGCTGGAGTCTGTAAAAAATAAGGCTGCTCGCTTCATCTAAAACGAGAAATACTTGCGCACATCAAGCATAAATGACATCAAATCCTTACTCAGTTAAGCTCCTCCATTAAAGCGTACGATTCTGACATCATTGCCTTTCTTTCAAAAGCTTCACTGCAATAAGCAATGGGTCAATACCTTCTATCAGGCCAGGTCGTTATATACCTTCATGGCTAGATTACCAGTCTGAACTTGAACCCAATTTCGCCCGCACTAATTTGTTCCATCACTCGCCCCTTCTCATCGCCATTCCTACATCGAGCGTTCTATCTATTGACATCACACACATATTCAATTATGACTCATTTCTCAATCACGTAATGTCATTCCGAAGACTCTTCTGAAGTAGTAGAGTTGCACCTCTGACAGAACTCGCCACTTGCGCCACCATTCGCCAAGCGCGCTCGCGTGCGCAAAAGCGGCCGTTTATGGAAAAGACAACTTCATGGCTGCGCGGGTGCTGGCGACCGCAGCGCCACCACTGCTACAACTGCACGGTCAAGCCGTCCCTCCTGCGAAGCGCGAGACCGTTCAGCTCGCACAGCGTGGATGGTTCGTAGATGTTGCGGTGGTGTTTCTTGCTGTTCGTTTTAGTGAACGTGATTTTTTCCATCTATCGAGCCGTTCACAAAAATAGAACGGGACAAAACGGTAGAAATGTGCGCGAGTGAGTGTGTGAAAACGGCGTAGTGCGCGAATATGAACCTTACAGGTCTATCAAAACGGCAGGATTCATTCCGAACACTGTGTAGCATAAAGGTTCGAAGCTTTACGAGTGTTTAGTTTATGCCCCATCTACCTAGATAAACAAAAAAATCTCTTCACTTGCGTAATTTGTGAAACACTGAGTGGTTATTTTAACACCTGTTTTCTCGAGCCATTTACTAAACATATTAAAGCGCTGCATCAAAAAGTATATGAAACGAATGGTTATCTGCATTTATTTCTTGGTCCAGAATCGTGTACGTCGGGGTTTTTGAGGGCGATTTAAAACAAAGACATTAGTCGCGATAGTGACGGCTTGTTCTATCTCGGTTCATTGTTGGTCCGAGCTTTCCGTACTTTCTTCCTTGTAAGAGGGAGACATTGTGCTAGTGCCGGCCCATAGCCAGTAACTTTTTTTTCGCGGGGGGCGGGTAGCGGGAGAGACTTGCTGAAGACCTTGAAAAACCCTCATTTTTATGAGTCATTTTCAGTAAAATACACACACACATAAGCGTTTCGCGATAGCAGGTGGCTTCTAGCCCCCCTCCTTTGCCCTTGGTTATGGGCCACTGTCAGCGACGCGTTATGAACGAGAGTACACCATGAAAGCACATGGAGCCGCTGAGCCGCGTTGGCTCTTACTATCCAGAGGGGTGGCTTTCTTGCTTAACATAAATGCGCCAGCGGGCAAGATGGTGGACCTATGGAGATCTCTGGTACCTACTGTAGCATATACGGTAATACCCCTGTCATACGGACACCACCGAAGTCTGTTAAATTCCGTCAACGTAAAGCTCCGCTATGTAGTTCGACGGAGATGGAGTGGTATCAGTGTCACACGGCAATGACAAGGTTGCAATAGTTGCCGCGAAAGGGCTCAGCCGGCACTGTTTGAGTTTCACAGAAGTATCCCAATTTTATTTCTACGTTTTTTTGTGAATCTTTGTTATGCGGTTTTTACGAAAACACAATATTAAGAACGTCTGAAGGCAACAAAACATTAAAAATATTTCAAATGGAAACACTTTCGCTAATTGTAGCAGTGCTGGCCACCTTGTGCCTAACGCTATGTTTGATTGCTCGGTGACTAGTTGGTTTTGTAGCGCGTGTACCAAAGTTCTTGCGTTTCCTTCCCTCCTGAGCGCATCCGAAGTCACCCTTGAATTAGGTCGGGTCCCATTACCCATTCCTGCAGCCGTTGTCAGCGTTGCAGCGTTGCAGGCATACCTCTTCCGGGCCAACGGAAACACGGCAACAACAACGACGGCACGCATGGACGATGCCCTCCACAACGCGCCAAAGAAACACACGTTATGAATGACTACTGCAACGAAAGAACCTTTGATATTGCCAAAATGTATTTATTGTTGTCACTGCGGCAATTTAGTGCTTGAATTTTTTCTGCACTGCCTATACTGCTAACGAGAGTACGTTCCGCTGCAAAGGGAGATTGTCAAACGCCCTTTCCGAAATTATTCATTTACCTTCGTTTGCGTAAGGGTTGCCGTGTGACACGGACCGCATCTCCCTTGTCGTAAGGACGAAGGAGCTAAATGGTGTTCGCTGGCTCCCGTGTGACAGTGGTATAACTCTACAGTGAGTTGGCACGGAGCGCCCCCGCTACAAAGCGGCGAAAGGTAGAAACAGCCCCTCATGCGCAGGCCGTAAAGAAAGCGAGCTCGTGCATCCTGACTGGGCATGCACAAACGCACCACGGGTATGTGCTGTTGTTGAACGGGAAGTGTTTGATGCCGTACGTGACGAGATCGTGACATAATTCAAGTCTGGACTGGCGCGTTATATACGCCAAGCCATTTTACCTTCATACTAATTTTGGTTGGCACCAAGTTAAGGGGTGATCAAGATAGTACCCAATCGTAAGCGGATAGATATAGATAGATGGATAAATAAATAAATAGGTAGCCTCAAAGTCACGTAGATATATAGATATATAGATAGATAGATAGATAGCTGGATAGATAAATAGATAGATAGATAGTTAGATAGATAGATAGATAGATAGATAGATAGATAGATAGATACCAAAAGTGCTTGAAATGGGCAGAACAGACACGTAGTACGTGCCCCTCCACTGCTTTCTTGAGCTGCAATGGTTCGGCATATAGGGATGAACGAGATGATGACGGAGAAATTTCTTAGTGGAACGTGCAAAGAACGCAACGTCTTTTCTGTAATCCTTCGCATTGAAAGAAAAAAAAAGGTGGACCGAGCTTTGTTATCTGATCGAATGCGTTGTTCGTGCTTTTACTTTGTTTACAAAACTCTTCCTCGTCATTTATTCTGTGCATTACTTTCTTTATTTAAAGGTGGTAGAGTACAATGGCAAACGAGGCCGAAAGGCGCTCTGCGATTTCGTCGACAAGTACACAGAACACGGCTGTGTATGTACTGCGTGGGTATGTATTTTTTAAAATATATCTTTTCTGTAAACATTTGTTTTCTAAGCGGGGATCATAGGAAACGCCCAAGAACCAGCAGCACTGGCGTAAGCCTGATCCTTCTAAGTTGTTTTAAAAGGAACCGCTATTGAATCGCGGCCCTTCTCCATGTTCACGGGATATAATCCCAGCCGTGGTGGTCACATTTTCTGTGGAGGCGAAAAGTCTTGAGCCCAGCGTACTTAAATGTGGGCACTTGCTTAACAACGTCAGGTGCTCGAAATTTACGGAGCCCTCCACTATTCGCAATGCCCACGGCATATAGGTGGCGCGCCGTGCAATCCAAGACGGCTGCGGAAGGATGATCAACCCGTGAACTCGCCTAAGAAATGAAAAGATGCATGGACGTACTCCGCGTGCCACTTTCACCGGATGAACTCTTGACCGTCGAGTCAATGTATATTGAACCAAACTACTTTCCCAGCCGATAGGAACTGCTGAATGTTCTCTACCTCATTTCTTGCCCCCATGCAAAAAGTGGTGGTGTCAGCTGATCGACGGTGGATCAACGATGCTTTGCGTAATTCTGTGCGTGCAACAGAAAACTGCGCGAACTAGAATTCACAGATGAACTGAACGGCACTCTGAGATTATTTGTGCCGAGCCTGTCTGGCGGATTTGCCGCAGTAATAGGCCATTAGCGAATAGCACGTCGTCATGACATGTTTAACGTAGCAATAGCTTGCCAACATGTTACGCCGTCGTCATTACTTGCGCTGTAAGCATCATGCAGCTGCTTCTTCAAGGGAACACGAGCATTTAACTTCCCATTAAGTAGCGCTTGTGTCACAGCCATGATCAGACTCCTAAAAGTGCGTAATTTCCTGCACTCAAATGTTGCAGGTTCTATCAGCGCGATCGAAGCAAGGATATCAACAGGCGTACGCTTTGTGCAACGTCGAAAGCGCGAAAATTTGTCGGACAACAACGTCGTTCGAACGGCACCATTGAAGGACAGGACTAGTTAGCGTGGACTGTAGTCGCAACTGCATTTTTCAGCGCTCTAACCATTTCGCTTCGCTGGTCGAGCTCGAGCGTGTTGGCTGCATGCGGCGCTTTTTAATATTCACAGTAATTGAGACACATGCAATGCACAAGAAAAAGTAGGCTTTTACTTTCAGATTGCTGAAGGATCTTATATAACAAATACAATTAAAGTGACTTACGAGCGTAAAAAAAACATTAACGCACGCCGGGACGTAAAGTGCAACTCCCTGCTCGTGAGCTAGCAGCTGATCGTTCATCGCCACTGTCATTTTAAGCACGTTGGCAACCATCTATGTCCAGTAAAAATACTCGACGTCAAGACGGCTGCTTTGAACATCGCTGCTGAAAGTAATCTGTGAAATTCTCTCCGCGAAACGTCTTCGATAGCACCAATAACGCGTCGTTAACCACGCACAACACCCACACGACGTCACTTGTCACGTTTTTCTGAGGGTGCGGAGAGCATTTCGCACCGA